GAGTTATGAAGTGCGTCGGATAGAGGAAACCAAGGGCTATCGATCAGCGAAAACCGCATTTCGATATGTCAATTAGTTCAAAAGTTATTCTGGTCTGAAAATCCAGCGGCCCATAAGGCGCAATGTAAATCCAAAACTTTGAAGCGCTATATCTCAGTAGTGACTTTCAAGCACTTACGACGTTATACGGGGACCCGCTGAACTGCGTGTCTATACGGAGCTCCCTGGAACTACGGGTTTATACGGAGACCCCACGAACTCCGTGCTTGTAGGTTTCAAGTGTCGATGTGAGTCTCGGTGGTGCGTCTGGGACGCGCTCTCGCCTGAGGAGAATATGCGATGCAGCCATCGTGACAGCGATACTCACACACTAAAATCTTATGAACTCTAATATTCAGAGCCTACTGCAATACTGTCAACAAAAATTAGGAAATTTGTTTGTAGTGGCCTATGAAAATGAGAAAGGGGAGCTTCTACAGGAACATGTAAGCCGAAACAAGTAAATTCCAAAGATTTTAGTGTGCATTTCACGTTTGTCGCTCGAACCGTGCTTTTCTTGCTTCCTGTCCTTGTCCCCCCTCCCCCCCTTCTATATCCCATCCCTTGCACCTCAAACTCGCAGCTCCAGCTAATTCCGGCTCGCTCACTAGGCGGCTTTAGTCTCGGCGTGGCGCCGCGCGGCATGGCATGTTGACTCGCATTCTCTTACCGCCGCGACACCTCTCTCCCCCCGACCCGTCCCCTGTCTCGTTCTCTCTCGGTGTCCCCCCTCTATTCCCCCCCCCCTCTCTCTCTCTCTCTTTCTCACTCTCCCCCCAGCAGCGCCTCGTTACCCGAGTCCGCAAGTAATTACCAGTGCGTCGGTGTGCATATCCCCGTGGTAGGTGGAGGGAGGGACGGAGCGACGAGGCTGCCTCCAGCGCCGCACGTCCTCTGGAAGAGCCCTAAAACACTTTCCATCAAACCACTCTGTGATTTTCGCGCCCGTTTCCTGTCTGGTCTGCCGACAGTCGTCTTATTCTTCCTATTTTCCCATCGCCCGTACACATATTTACTTTTCTTTGGATGGTGTTTTGATACTGCGTATGTAAAACGAAACACATTAAAAAAGAAAGAGAACTGCGATTTTAGATGGCCCCCTTCGCTTATCTCGACGCGCGTTGCCGTTTTGTCGTCGTTATTAGTTATTTTGCACTCATTATTTTGATGGGCGCTCGCGCCGTTTATTCACCCCAATTAATCAAGTCTATCGGACGGATGCGGAGGGAAAGGGAGTTCATCACGGCACAACAATGGTGGCTGTCTGTGTGTGCATGAGGAGAGAGAGAGAGAGAGAGAGAGAGAGAGAGAGAGAGAGAGAGAGAGAGAGAGAGATCGTGTGTGTTCAAAAAAAAATCTCCGTGCCGTCTGGCGTGGCGCGCGCACACAAAAACGGAAAACCACGCGTGGCATTGAAATTCGTTACGTATTTCATACGGGCTACGCTTTATTAAATCCTGCGTGCCTGGCCTCCACAAGCCCCCCGGGGGGGCCGGGGCCAGCGCGGGCCGGCGCGGCGGTCGCGGCTGTGTGCTTGTGTGCCGGGGCGCGCTCCAGCTGGGGACCCCGCCCCTTCCTGCCCCTCCACGCCCCGCCACGCCCCGCCACGCCCCGCCACGCCTCGCAGCAGCCTCACCGCCATCGCGCGCCCCCAGCCGTGTCCTCGTCCTGGCACACTACCACACGGTCTGTACCTTTGCGCTCCGGTGAGCAAACTGCTCAAACTTATTTTTGAGAAGTGTATGCAAAGCGAATGTGTGAACGGGAGCCGGTGGGGGAGTGCGTGGGCGAGGCGGCGGCGACAGGTGGTGAGGTGGGGCGGGGCTTCGGCGTCCCTGTGTGTATGGGCGGGGATGAGGCGGGGATGAGGCGGGGATCACGCCGTCCCCACGCAGAGCAGCGCGCCTGTGGAGCTCGGAGTAGGCAACCCGCTGAGCTGCCCTGTCAGCCGCTGCGGCTAGCTGGCCTACCCTTCCGGCGGCGCACTGGCTGCTCTGCCCGAAATGAGGCGACGGACTTAATTTTACTCTACGCGGTTTATAATCTAAGTAAAATAAAAAAAATGTTTTCGCTATTGGTAGTTTGGTGTTTTTATCCTACTGGATATAAAGTGGTCCAGCTGTTGAGCTCTCGTGCGCCTACCCCCCCTTCTTTCCCCACCATCCTTTTGTTTACCATCTCGATGCGTTTTTTTTTCTCAACAAAGCTCGATCCTCATGCAGCCGCGCGCCCGGAACGGGGGAAAAGGAGAAGAATTAAATTCCACCGCTATTGTTGTTGAGTGGGTGGCGGAAAAATAAGGAAAAGGGGCGTTAATTATTTTATGGATCCATAAAACGAAAAAAGAAGGGGCGGCCGTCGAACAGGCCGGTGCGGCCATCCTGAAAGGGGGAGCTCACTTCCTCACCTTTATCGCTCTCCCTTGTGGACGACCGCATACCTTTTCGATTTATTATTACTTCGGAGAAGTTGGAACCGAAGACAATTATTATTGCAACTGCAAGGGGGAAAAGGACAAGGGGGGGCTGTTTTGTTGACTTTCCTCCCCTGTTGCTTTTAAAAGTATATAGGAGAGAAGCCGGGGCAGGGCAAGGGGGGAGCGGCTGGGGGCGGCGCGGCCGTGGAGAGCCCGTCGGAGGGGAGAGAGGGCGGAAGAATTAGGACGGTGGTTTACGGGATGGGTGGCTGCTGGGGTAAATTGGGGAAAGGGGTTAGAGAGCAGGAGCAAGCGAGTGAACGTGGTACACAGAGAGAGAGAGAGAGAGAGAGAGAGAGAGAGAGAGAGAGAGAGAGAGAGAGAGAGAGAGTGAGCGATGTAGAGGAAGAGAGGTGAAGGATGAGTGCCATCACGAGGCGAATCGCTGTAGGGCAAGTAATCGCCACGGCCGCTTATTCTGTCGTATAAAACTCGGCCAGGCTGGTGACTCGTGGCCCGCCAGGCCCGCTCCACACACGAGCGGAAAAATGAAAATAATAAATTGGTCCAGCGATAAGGATGCTGACAGAGTGCCCTGATGGGGCTGCGGGAGACTGCCTGAGGGTGCAAGAGAGAGACAGCGAGCGAGCGAGCGAGAGCAAGGGAGCGAGGTTCGCCGCTGTTCTTTTAAACACTGCGAGCGGTCCCTCCCGCCCGCATGCCGTCAGAGCGCCAACCCCGCCAGCGCTAACCCAGTCTGTCAACCGCTGTGTCGCCGAAGGAAAAAAAATAGGGAAAATCTATTTGCCTTTGGTTTATAAAATTCCAGAACACGTTGGTGTAAGTTTTTCATACATACATCCACTACAGCAGCGTACATGATTAAAGGCCGTTATGAAAAAAACAAACAAAAAAACAACAAACGCATCGTGAGTGTGCGGTGGTTTTGGCCTGATTTTCACGGTTGGCCTTGCGCTCCGGCCACGGCTCAACAACGGGGGTTTATCATGAACTCTGGAAGTGTGGATTCGGCGCGGGCAGCATAATGTTGTGGATGATTGTGCTTTGCTATGCGCGGCTCGGGGGCGGACCGGGGGCGGACCGGGGGGCGGCCTGGGGGTGGCCGGGGGCACCGACACAGGCGCCAGGCACGCAAGCAGAGGCCCTTTGCAGCTTGCACAGGTGTGCGGGGGCGCAGCCCTGGACGTTTTACAAGGCCCTAATGGCGGCCTGTTGGTTCAGGACTGGGCCGGCCGGGGCCCTGCAGGGCCGCCCCTCTCGCACTCCTATCCCGCTCACTCAAGGAGGAGGTCCCGCCAAGACGGAGGGACAAAGCCCGAGTTGGCAGGGACGGGTGGGCGCACCGCAAATGGACAGAGAGTGTAGCGAGCGGGCCACTCGGGTCGGGCCCGGGTCCACGGCACGACACTGCTCCGCTCCTCCGGGCCGCACGGCCAGAACTCGCTACCCGCCCAAATGACGGCCAATTCACCTGTCATCGTCACTTTTTAGCACCTGATTTCTCACTGTGGCAAATATGCTCGTAAATTTAGAACATTTGTTGTAATTTTTATTTACAAAATATGTTTTAAATTCAGAACACATGTTGTAATTTGTATTTACAAAACATTTTTTAAATTTGCGACAGCCTATATTGTTGCTTGTTGATTATGGAAAATTCCCAGGAATTCCCGTTAACACAGACGACTATTTTTCACAGTTATTTAAAAGACACTGTTGTTTTTCATTTTTTCTTTTATTTTATGGTCTCTATCTTTACTACTGTAAATCATTTTTTGTGGGGTGTGTACTTGAAAGACAGATATATCATGCCCTTTTCCCTGTGTGTTGCAGGCCGCATGCGGACTGGCCGAGATGGCCCTGGACGTTGACGGAGCCTGCTGGGACCCCCCGGAGGGTCGGCGGCGGCCCCGAGGCCCCCGGCGCCCGCGGCGGGCCGGTGGCTGGCGGCGGGAGTAGACGGCGGCCGGCGGCCGCGGTTGCCATGAGCCCCCTAGGGCTGCTGGCGCTCGTCGCCTCGACGCTGGCCGTCGTCGGAGCTGCTCATGGTGAGTCTTCCGCTTAAACAGACATACGCGAGGAACATTGACTGTGACGAGCATCGCATGGCTATTCTACGGACAACCATAAAATATCGATTGAGGTAAACATTCACACAGTTGTGAGAAGTGCGCGTCTGATTTTGAATGACCACATTCACAAGGCCAGGCAGGCGGAGGAAAAGTAACGTCACTACTCTGCAGTTCCCGGGTGGAAGGATCTGAAGACGAACTGCAGTCAGAACTCTAGTAATTTCATCATTGCTGTTAAACTGTAGTTTATCTGCAGTTTTTCCCGCTTTGTGGCCCTACGTCCGAAAAAAATGCAGTTAAACTATAGAAACCTGCAATTAACCTTTAGTTTTACTACAGTTAAACTACAGTTTTCGACTATAGTACTGAGTGCGGATCTTTACATCCGGGTTTGTTTGCGAGAGGCGAGGCGGCCGCCGCTCGTAATCGAACCCGGCTGACCCATTTCCAGACGTGCCGAGCCAAACTTGGGCTTATCATGTCTCCAAACTGTGAGGGCCGCGCCGGGGCCGGGTAGGGCCGGAACAGCCCCAAACCGAGCCGCCCGGCCTGGGCTTCCTTACCGAGGCCAAGGCGGGGCGGGGTGGGGTGGGGTGGACGGGGGTGGAGAAGGGCAGGGCGGGGGTGTTCTCTTCGCTCTGCGGGCTGCCCCCCGGACCAGCAGCTCGGCGGCGGCAGCTGGAACTCTCCCCCATGTCTCTCTCCTGACCCCTCAAACCCCCGCTCCCCCCGCACACCAGCGCGCACAGATTTCACCCTTTCCTCCCCCTCCTTCGCCTCTAATGCCGTAACTTGGACGCAACTCTTTCCCCCTCTGCTGCCCGCCGCGCCCCCGCGGGACTCCTACGCCACGCGGGTCGCGGTGCGTCCGGCGCGGCGTGGGGTCTGGAGGAGGGAGGCCCATCTCGCGGCCCACTGAGCCGCCGCCGTGTGTTCAAACCGGCGATTAAATTAGGTTCTGCTGACTTCCTTCGTGGAGTAAGACAGGGGGGCCCGGGGGGCAAGTCGGACGGAGGAAACGAAAAAAAAGAAGAAAATGTTGTCCCGATTGGGGACTCGAACCCGGCGCGAGTCCGCGTGCCCGCCGCCAGCCTCTCTGACGACGCACTTTCTTTGAGAAACTGCTGTGATTCTCAGATTAGGGACTCAAAGGAATCCCTTTAGGCATATCAGAGCTGCGCCCTTCCCTTTCCCCACCCCCCTTTTTCTCGGAGCTGCTCGCTACCGCTGCTGCTGCTGCTACTGGAGATTCGCTGCTGCCCCCTCTCCACTTCCCTCTGCTCCCTCCTAATCCGAAAGCAGTGGAGGGGATGCATCTGATTCGGGAAGCGACTCTGCCTCTAAACTTCCACGTCTGACATGTCGCGGGTCTTTATTCCTTCCTGATCGTGTTCCGTTGATTAGGTGCGGCCCTATCTGTGTCCCGTTGGCACCCCTCCCCGCTCTCCTCCACCCCGCGCCTCCCCATCCTCTCCCCCGGCCTGCTCCGACTCCTCTAGGAGGAGACATTCTGGGAGATTAAATTGGGAGGGTCGAGAGGACGAGAGATATCCACCTGCCGGCACCTCATTTTGGAAATAGAGGTTTGTTGGGCGAGGCCCGCTCCGCCGGGCTCTGGCTAGAGAGCAGCAGGAGTAATATTATTATTATGATCTCCTCCGCTGGTCGGTCGGAGGTACTCGACAGCAGAGGGGTTTCCAGACTCCGGGCGAGAAGCTGCTGGAGTGGAGCGCGCGCTGCCGGAGGGTAATAAAACTGCATTTTTGAGATGGATTTTATTTTATTTGCACTCGCCGGCCGCGCGCGCGCGTTCGCGCCAGTTTAAAGCGCTATCTCTCTTGAGGTTTTTATGTTCTTTTTCGCAACTTGCTGACGGCGGAGTGGCAAGTAGAGGAGGAAGGAGGGCGCCGGGAAGGGGGCGGGGTGCTAGCTGGCAGCCAACAGGCTTCAGGTGTTTCTGACGCACGCCTCCTTCGCGCTTGCCGCTCGGCTGCCTGGAGTGCAGAGTGACAGCGGAGCAAGACTGCCTGAGTAGCGGCAGCCGACCTACAATGGCTAAAAAGCAGGAAAAAAATGAGGGAAAAAAGGATTGCAGATGAGGAGCAGAGTACTTCTCTGCGGCGGGGCGGCTCATCCAAAGTGCTGCTGAGGTGGGCCTCCCCTCTGCGCAATGTGCTGTAGCGCAGTCCGCGCGGGTAATTTGAATTTCCGTGTGTGGTTCTGGAAGCGCCCCTCCAGCGCCAGCTCCAGCAGGCGGCGGCGGCGGCGTAGTGCGGCACGGGGGAGGTGCGACCGGCTGGTTCTGGGGCTGCGGGGGCCCCCGGGCTGTAGCCTCCAGCGAGAGAGAGAGGGAGAGAGAGAGAGAGAGAGAGAGAGAGAGAGAGAGCAGGATCAGGATGTCGTCTGCCCGCCAGTCACGGATGGAGATCCCCCCTCTGTCTCTCTTTCTCTCCCCTGCTGTTTTTTCGATAATTAATGGGGAAACCCCTTTTCCATCCAATCCGGCCGAGTGTGACGTTTCATTCCCGGCCATTGCCAAAGCCCCCGCCGCCGCCGCCGCCGGTCGGTGCCGAGCCAGAAGCTGACTCGAAAAAAGAGAAAGAAAGGAAAAGGCGAGCGGCGCGATCTGGGCGGTGGGGCGGCTGGGGCTGCAAGGGCGAGCCAGGCAGGCAGGCAAGTCCAGGGGAGAAAGAGAGGTATAGGTGATAGCTCGCCCCGAGTCTCGTGGGAGC